TCTTATTTAATAATCCCCATGAGAGTCTTGTTATCAAGGTTCTACTGTATTATAGCTTTTTGAAAAAGTGTCATGTTCACGTGAGAACAATCCTTAAATTGACCCTTACTCCAGCTGACTTTACTGGTGCCTTACTATGAAAGATGACTTTCTGGTATGAAAAAACTACAGAAACCAATTGATTACTTTTTAGTATAGCGAAAAGTGATTAGTGTGCTAATAGCTAAAAGTACCTAACCTTTTAATGTCTTTACTATTTATGTGTATATTTTCAGACCCAATACTATGGTTTTGTCAACATTGGCAAGCCTGGGAAGACATTCAAAATGGTGATGGACACGGCTTGGGCCTACACCTGGGTTCCGTCCGTGGAATGCCCCCTGTCAGCATAGCTTGTGGTATTGTGCTTTACTATAACTTAAGTTATCCTGTTTTGGTTTCGCTGGTCTTTGGTTTATGTGGCCGATTGGAAGCCAATATTAAAACGTGTTTCCCATATGGCTTAAAAGACATGAAGTATTATACACTAGTCTCCACAAGTTCACTCATTCAATTCAAAGAATCTTTATTTGTTTGTAAAATCTAATACACATAAATAGTGCCAAATACAGGCATTGAAAAATGATAAACAAAGGTATCTTAGAATTAAAAATGTAAAAACTAACATTACTTCTTATAACTCATCACAAGAATAAATAGCTTTTTTGATGAAGTATTGCTACAATTTAATCTTGAATTTTTATTTGATGCCTTATCTGTAATGGTTTTTGAAATTTTGTTATACAATTTTGAACCAGCATATTTAGGTTTCTTTTTGAAAAGTTCCAGAGCTTTTGAGAGCTTAATTATAAAGGAGACCTCGAAGAACAGTTTGGAATTCATTTTTGCCAATATCCTACTGATTTTAAAATAGGTTAATTAAATTTATGATACAGGTGATTATTGATTAAGGTATAAATGTATTTTTCAGCCCGACATGAAAGATATGACCACAGTAGATCATCGACTTATAAACCTGATGGCACCAGCTTCAACATTTCCAACACTTATGTTGGATATCTTTCCAATGACTTGTTCTTGGTAAGTTTTATCCATTTTCAATAATCACTAATCTTTTTTTTACACTTGATTTAACAAAAATATTATTTGTAGTTAATAGTGCTTTTTTTCAGGGGACTTATAGTAGTAGTGTGTTAACGACACGAGTAGAAAATTTAAGGTGCCAGCCTTGGCGAGTGCATTAAAACCTTCTACAAGTGTCGTTAACACTATTTACGCAAGTTGCATACATTACTTTACCTACGACAGTGTTTTAATTACTGTAAATAACTACTCATTACTTCTAAGAGAGGTTATGTTTTTGTTTAAACCTCTCATTGCCACTGTCAGTGATGCAACCAAACATTGTACCAAACACTAATTGCAGCACTCAACAATTAAATTGGCCTAAACAGCTGATTAGTTGAAGTTCGAATCATTACAATTTTACTTCTTCTCTCTCAATCCTTGAACCTCATTGGTCCGTGTTACTCTGTTGTTTTGACTCTTAATAGTTCAAACAAATTAAAGCAGTAAAACCATATGTAACATCATATACGTTGGGCACAACCATTCAGAACATTCATCAAAGTACGGTACGCAAGAAATTTCAGATTGGTTAGGTAAGTAGGAATTAGTACAAGCAGTCTAGGATATTACCAAAACTAATAAACACTCGGTTTCAAAAATATACTATATTTGCCATTGGAGTTGGCTGCAGCACTTGAAGCGGGAGTGGTTACACCATAGTGTATAAATGCTCCCATCAGACTGAATATATTTACAAACCGCTTAAAAATATGTGAAAAGTTTAAATAATGTGAAAATCAGCCCCAAGCTTGAGTTATAAGTTGTTAAAAAAGTTTCCTGTACATTTTCTCACTATGTTTTTGTTGATGAAATTGTAACATACCTTTGCTCCCCAGGTTGGCCAGATGAATACCACAGATCAGAAGTTTGCAGAACTCAAACATTTGCCATGGATAAACGCTCTGTATGAACCAGACGGAACCCTAGGGCTAGGCATAGAAAAACTGTCCCCCGGTGTCACTCCTTTGTTCTACAACATCTACAGACAGAACATAATTGCTCCAATATTTTCTTTCTACATTAACAGGTATGTTTTCAGTTCACTTTTTTCTGTATAATTTATTGACAATTAGCTATTGATCAATGTGTTACTTTACCTATAGTACAAGACAGTTATCCAAAAAAAGACCCTAACCTAGAACAAATTAGTTCAAGGATAAACTCTTCTGGAATGTGCTTGGGACACACTCTTAAATATTTCCCGAGAATTCCCAAAAAATGCCACTTCAGCAAAATCTGCCATCCTGGAAAATGGCATCGAAACAAATCATACTTGTGAGGTTTAAGGGAAATTGCTATAACTTCAAATTTATTCAACTTCCGTAAAGCCTTGAAAGTTTGATTTGTTTCGCTGCCATTTTCCAAGATGGCAAATTTTGCTGAAGTTTTTGGGAATTCTCGGTAAATGTTAAGGAGTGTGTCCCAAACACATTCCACAAGAGTTAACTTTTGAACCAATTTGTTCTAGGTTAATCATTATCTGTCCTGTAATAGGCAATTTATTTATATTGGCAACCATACACAAGACAGTTAAAATATTACATAGTGATTTAACATAGATGCACAATGTTTACATAAATCACAGAGAGAATAAAATTGTTTATTGAATTAACAAAGGACAAGAATGTGTACTTGTATAAAAACTACAAAAACATGGAATGATAATACGGTATTATAATAACGACAATTACACTAAATACCATTTGACTTAAAGGTTAATCCAGGCTTGCTTTCAAATGTGCTCGGACCCAGAGGCGCAAGATGTTTTGGGTTTGTTGGGGGTGAAAGCAATAGAAAACATTTTAAATCACGTGACAATGGAAAATCCTCTCCACTCTCCAACTCTCCCTCAAACTCAACAACTATTTTCATAAATATGCACAATTTAATCAATAATATACTATATAACAAAAATAAATTGTGAAAACCTTTTTTTTTGTGGTTTTCTATGGGTGCTGAATAGCCTAGTTACGTCCCTGGCAATGAAATCACTTGATTCATTAGATAAGTGAAAAAACTTGAAACAACTGTTACAACATAACTTTAAAAATTCTAAAACAACTTTATTACATTTAATTACATTACTCATTACATTTAATAAAGTGACAGTGACACACTACAAGCTCTGTAATCATCTTCCCAAATGAGTTTCATATTATATTTTTTTGCCACACTACCAACTACACACAGCTAAACACAGCATGTTAAAAACAACCCATTTAATGACAAAAATATTAAATATACAATTTACCAAACAGAATTGTCAACTATTTTTAAAGAGTATGACAATAGACAATAGACAATAGACAATGATCTTTATTTACATATTCGTTGAGAACAGTACATGCGTCAGAATAATAATTAAAATTTGTTGATTTAATATGTTGTTAAAGCTGGTTGTCAAGGAATTCTTTTTCTGAGTAGAATGGCCTTTCTTGCAGCCATGTTGTTAATTGGTTCTTGAAACGGTGAGTTGGTTCATTTCTAAGTTGTTCTGGTAGATTGTTGAAATACAGGGCCCCTTTGTAGGATGGCTTCTTTTCAAAGAGACTTAGATGGTGAGGTGGTATTGCAAAGCTTGAGGCGTTCCGTGTATTGTGATGGTGAATGTCTCTGTTTCTTGTTTGATTTGTGGAGATGGCATGGAGAATTGCCTCACGGATGTAAAGTGATGTCAGTGTGAGGATTTTTAGTTCCTTAAATGCATCACGACTGCTTTCTTGATATTGAAGGCCTGCTAGACATCTTATAGCTCTTTTTTGTTGGATAAGGACTCTTTTTAGGTAGTTGTTGGATGTACTTCCCCAGACCACCTGAGGTGACAGATACCTGAGGTGTGACTCGACCAGGGCATGGTAGGCTGTTTTTGCGGTGTCCAGACCACCAACCTGCTTCATTCGCCTGATGACATGAATGCCAGAGCGTAGCTTCTTGCAGAGTTGGTCAATGTGCTGTTTCCATGTCAGTTTTGAATCCATGATAATGCCGAGATATTTGGTACTATTTTGTGCTTCTATCCCAGGGATTAATATGTTTGTGTCTTTATTTTTAGTAGAGTAGTTCAGCTGAACAGTTTTCTTTTCATTTAGAGCCAATTCGTTTACTGTACAATATAGTTTAGTCATGTTGAAGGTTATATTGATGTTTCGGTTTAAAGTTTCCGTTGATTTGTCGGTTAGTGTGATGACAGTGTCATCTGCATACATTGTGGTTTGGCAGTATTCTTGTAGCTGGTCTGGTAGGTCATTTGTAAGGAGGAGGAACAGGACTGGTCCGAGAACTGATCCCTGTGGTACTCCTCTCCGTATATGTTTCCAATGTTTAATTTGTGAAAGTGCAATTGGCCTGGTCAAACCTGAAAAATATTTATAGTGTAGCTTCGTTGAAAGCCTACTAAGAAACTCATACAGTTGAACCTCGATAGGAAGACCCTCGAAAACAAGTCATCGTTGATAACAAGTGTAATTTTCAAATCCCCTTGAATTTATTTTACCCCAAATCACATGTTATTGCAAACCTCAATAAGGAGTCAACCTTGATAACAAGTATTATTTAATAATCCCCATGAGAGTCTTGTTATCAAGGTTCTACTGTATTATAGCTTTTTGAAAAAGTGTCATGTTCACGTGAGAACAATCCTTAAATTGACCCTTACTCCAGCTGACTTTACTGGTGCCTTACTATGAAAGATGACTTTCTGGTATGAAAAAACTACAGAAACCAATTGATTAATTTTTAGTATAGCGAAAAGTGATTAGTGTGCTAATAGCTAAAAGTACCTAACCTTTTAATATCCTTACTATTTATGTGTATATTTTCATACCCAATACTATGGTTTTGTCAACATTGGCAAGCCTGGGAAGACATTCAAAATGGTGATGGACACGGCTTGGGCCTACACCTGGGTTCCGTCCGTGGAATGCCCCCTCGTCAGCATAGCTTGTGGTATTGTGCTTTACTGTCTTGGTTTCGCTGGTCTTTGGTTTATGTGGCCGATTGGAAGCCAATATTAAAACGTGTTTCCCATATGGCTTAAAAGACATGAAGTATTATACACTAGTCTCCACAAGTTCACTCATTCAATTCAAAGAATCTTTATTTTTTTGTAACATCGAATACACATAAATAGTGCCAAATACAGGCATTGAAAAATGATAAACAAAGGTATCTTAGAATTAAAAATGTAAAAACTAACATTACTTCTTATAACTCATCACAAGAATAAATAGCTTTTTTGATGAAGTATTGCTACAATTTAATCTTGAATTTTTATTTGATGCCTTATCTGTAATGGTTTTTGAAATTTTGTTATACAATTTTGAACCAGCATATTTAGGTTTCTTTTTGAAAAGTTCCAGAGCTTTTGAGAGCTTAATTATAAAGGAGACCTCGAAGAACAGTTTGGAATTCATTTTTGCCAATATCCTACTGATTTTAAAATAGGTTAATTAAATTTATGATACAGGTGATTATTGATTAAGGTATAAATGTATTTTTCAGCCCGACATGAAAGATATGACCACAGTAGATCATCGACTTATAAACCTGATGGCACCAGCTTCAACATTTCCAACACTTATGTTGGATATCTTTCCAATGACTTGTTCTTGGTAAGTTTTATCCATTTTCAATAATCACTAATCTTTTTTATACACTTGATTTAACAAAAATATTATTTGTAGTTAATAGTGCTTTTTTTCAGGGGACTTATAGTAGTAGTGTGTTAACGACACAAGTAGAAAATTTAAGGTGCCAGCCTTGGCGAGTGCATTAAAACCTTCTACAAGTGTCGTTAACACTATTTACGCAAGTTGCATACATTACTTTACCTACGACAGTGTTTTAATTATAAATCACTACTCATTACTTCTAAGAGAGGTTATGTTTTTGTTTAAACCTCTCATTGCCACTGTCAGTGATGCAACCAAACATTGTACCAAACACTAATTGCAGCACTCAACAATTAAATTGGCCTAAACAGCTGATTAGTTGAAGTTCGAATCATTACAATTTTACTTCTTCTCTCTCAATCCTTGAACCTCATTGGTCCGTGTTACTCTGTTGTTTTGACTCTTAATAGTTCAAACAAATTAAAGCAGTAAAACCATATGTAACATCATATACGTTGGGCACAACCATTCAGAACATTCATCAAAGTACGGTACGCAAGAAATTTCAGATTGGTTAGGTAAGTAGGAATTAGTACAAGCAGTCTAGGATATTACCAAAACTAATAAACACTCGGTTTCAAAAATATACTATATTTTCCATTGGAGTTGGCTGCAGCACATGAAGCGGGAGTGGTTACACCATAGTGTATAAATGCTCCCATCAGACTGAATGTATTTACAAACCGCTTAAAAATATGTGAAAAGTTTAAATAATGTGAAAATCAGCCCCAAGCTTGAGTTATAAGTTGTTAAAAAAGTTTCCTGTACATTTTCTCACTATGTTTTTGTTGATGAAATTGTAACATACCTTTGCTCCCCAGGTTGGCCAGATGAATACCACAGATCAGAAGTTTGCAGAAGTCAAACATTTGCCATGGATAAACGCTCTGTATGAACCAGACGGAACCCTAGGGCTAGGCTTAGAAAAACTGTCCCCCGGTGTCACTCCTTTGTTCTACAACATCTACAGACAGAACAAAATTGCTCCAATATTTTCTTTCTACATTAACAGGTATGTTTTCAGTTCACTTTTTTCTGTATAATTTATTGACAATTAGCTATTGATCAATGTGTTACTTTACCTATAGTACAAGACAGTTGTCCAAAAAAAGACCCTAACCTAGAACAAATTAGTTCAAGGATAAACTCTTCTGGAATGTGCTTGGGACACACTCTTAAATATTTCCCGAGAATTCCCAAAAAATGCCACTTCAGCAAAATCTGCCATCCTGGAAAATGGCATCGAAACAAATCATACTTGTGAGGTTTAAGGGAAATTGCTATAACTTCAAATTTATTCAACTTCCGTAAAGCCTTGAAAGTTTGATTTGTTTCGCTGCCATTTTCCAAGATGGCAAATTTTGCTGAAGTTTTTGGGAATTCTCGGTAAATGTTAAGGAGTGTGTCCCAAACACATTCCACAAGAGTTAACTTTTGAACCAATTTGTTCTAGGTTAATCATTATCTGTCCTGTAATAGGCAATTAATTTATATTGGCAACCATACACAAGACAGTTAAAATATTACATAGTGATTTAACATAGATGCACAATGTTTACATAAATCACAGAGAGAATAAAATTGTTTATTGAATTAACAAAGGACAAGAATGTGTACTTGTATAAAAACTACAAAAACATGGAATGATAATACGGTATTATAATAACGACAATTACACTAAATACCATTTGACTTAAAGGTTAATCCAGGCTTGCTTTCAAATGTGCTCGGACCCAGAGGCGCAAGATGTTTTGGGTTTGTTGGGGGTGAAAGCAATAGAAAACATTTTAAATCACGTGACAATGGAAAATCCTCTCCACTCTCCAACTCTCCCTCAAACTCAACAACTATTTTCATAAATATGCACAATTTAATCAATAATATACTATATAACAAAAATAAATTGTGAAAACCTTTTTTTTTGTGGTTTTCTATGGGTGCTGAATAGCCTAGTTACGTCCCTGGCGATGAAATCACTTGATTCATTAGATAAGTGAAAAAACTTGAAACAACTGTTACAACATAACTTAAAAAATTCTAAAACAACTTTATTACATTTAATTACATTACTCATTACATTTAATAAAGTGACAGTGACGCACTACAAGCTCTGTAATCATCTTCCCAAATGAGTTTCATATTATATTTTTTTGCCACACTACCAACTACACACAGCTAAACACAGCATGTTAAAAACAACCCATTTAATGACAAAAATATTAAATATACAATTTACCAAACAGAATTGTCAACTATTTTTAAAGAGTATGTTTCCAATATTTAATTTGTGAAAGTGCATTTGGCCTGGTCAAACCTGAAAAATATTTATAGTGTAGCTTCGTTGAAAGCCTACTAAGAAACTCATACAGTTGAACCTCGATAGGAAGACCCTCGAAAACAAGTCATCGTTGATAACAAGTGTAATTTTCAAATCCCCTTGAATTTATTTTACCCCAAATCACATGTTATTGCAAACCTCAATAAGGAGTCAACCTTGATAACAAGTATTATTTAATAATCCCCATGAGAGTCTTGTTATCAAGGTTCTACTGTATTATAGCTTTTTGAAAAAGTGTCATGTTCACGTGAGAACAATCCTTAAATTGACCCTTACTCCAGCTGACTTTACTGTTGCCTTACTATGAAAGATGACTTTCTGGTATGAAAAAACTACAGAAACCAATTGATTAATTTTTAGTATAGCGAAAAGTGATTAGTGTGCTAATAGCTAAAAGTACCTAACCTTTTAATGTCCTTACTATTTATGTGTATATTTTCATACCCAAAACTATGGTTTTGTCAACATTGGCAAGCCTGGGAAGACATTCAAAATGGTGATGGACACGGCTTGGGCCTACACCTGGGTTCCGTCCGTGGAATGCCCCCTCGTCAGCATAGCTTGTGGTATTGTGCTTTACTGTCTTGGTTTCGCTGGTCTTTGGTTTATGTGGCCGATTGGAAGCCAATATTAAAACGTGTTTCCCATATGGCTTAAAAGACATGAAGTATTATACATTAGTCTCCACAAGTTCACTCATTCAATTCAAAGAATCTTTATTTGTTTGTAACATCGAATACACATAAATAGTGCCAAATACAGGCATTGAAAAATGATAAACAAAGGTATCTTAGAATTAAAAATGTACAAACTAACATCACTTCTTATAACTCATCACAAGAATAAATAGCTTTTTTGATGAAGTATTGCTACAATTTAATCTTGAATTTTTATTTGATGCCTTATCTGTAATGGTTTTTGAAATTTTGTTATACAATTTTGAACCAGCATATTTAGGTTTCTTTTTGAAAAGTTCCAGAGCTTTTGAGAGCTTAATTATAAAGGAGACCTCGAAGAACAGTTTGGAATTCATTTTTGCCAATATCCTACTGATTTTAATATAGGTTAATTAAATTTATGATACAGGTGATTATTGATTAAGGTATAAATGTATTTTTCAGCCCGACATGAAAGATATGACCACAGTAGATCATCGACTTATAAACCTGATGGCACCAACTTCAACATTTCCAACACTTATGTTGGATATCTTTCCAATGACTTGTTCTTGGTAAGTTTTATCCATTTTCAATAATCACTAATCTTTTTTTATACACTTGATTTAACAAAAATATTATTTGTAGTTAATAGTGCTTTTTTTCAGGGGACTTATAGTAGTAGTGTGTTAACGACACGAGTAGAAAATTTAAGGTGCCAGCCTTGGCGAGTGCATTAAAACCTTCTACAAGTGTCGTTAACACTATTTACGCAAGTTGCATACATTACTTTACCTACGACAGTGTTTTAATTATAAATCACTACTCATTACTTCTAAGAGAGGTTATGTTTTTGTTTAAACCTCTCATTGCCACTGTCAGTGATGCAACCAAACATTGTACCAAACACTAATTGCAGCACTCAACAATTAAATTGGCCTAAACAGCTGATTAGTTGAAGTTCGAATCATTACAATTTTACTTCTTCTCTCTCAATCCTTGAACCTCATTGGTCCGTGTTACTCTGTTGTTTTGACTCTTAATAGTTCAAACAAATTAAAGCAGTAAAACCATATGTAACATCATATACGTTGGGCACAACCATTCAGAACATTCATCAAAGTACGGTACGCAAGAAATTTCAGATTGGTTAGGTAAGTAGGAATTAGTACAAGCAGTCTAGGATATTACCAAAAATAATAAACACTCGGTTTCAAAAATATACTATATTTGCCATTGGAGTTGGCTGCAGCACATGAAGCGGGAGTGGTTACACCATAGTGTATAAATGCTCCCATCAGACTGAATGTATTTACAAACCGCTTAAAAATATGTGAAAAGTTTAAATAATGTGAAAATCAGCCCCAAGCTTGAGTTATAAGTTGTTAAAAAAGTTTCCTGTACATTTTCTCACTATGTTTTTGTTGATGAAATTGTAACATACCTTTGCTCCCCAGGTTGGCCAGATGAATACCACAGATCAGAAGTTTGCAGAACTCAAACATTTGCCATGGATAAACGCTCTGTATGAACCAGACGGAGACCTAGGGCTAGGCTTAGAAAAACTGTCCCCCGGTGTCACTCCTTTGTTCTACAACATCTACAGACAGAACAAAATTGCTCCAATATTTTCTTTCTACATTAACAGGTATGTTTTCAGTTCACTTTTTTCTGTATAATTTATTGACAATTAGCTATTGATCAATGTGTTACTTTACCTATAGTACAAGACAGTTGTCCAAAAAAAGACCCTAACCTAGAACAAATTAGTTCAAGGATAAACTCTTCTGGAATGTGCTTGGGACACACTCTTAAATATTTCCCGAGAATTCCCAAAAAATGCCACTTCAGCAAAATCTGCCATCCTGGAAAATGGCATCGAAACAAATCATACTTGTGAGGTTTAAGGGAAATTGCTATAACTTCAAATTTATTCAACTTCCGTAAAGCCTTGAAAGTTTGATTTGTTTCGCTGCCATTTTCCAAGATGGCAAATTTTGCTGAAGTTTTTGGGAATTCTCGGTAAATGTTAAGGAGTGTGTCCCAAACACATTCCACAAGAGTTAACTTTTGAACCAATTTGTTCTAGGTTAATCATTATCTGTCCTGTAATAGGCAATTTATTTATATTGGCAACCATACACAAGACAGTTAAAATATTACATAGTGATTTAACATAGATGCACAATGTTTACATAAATCACAGAGAGAATAAAATTGTTTATTGAATTAACAAAGGACAAGAATGTGTACTTGTATAAAAACTACAAAAACATGGAATGATAATACGGTATTATAATAACGACAATTACACTAAATACCATTTGACTTAAAGGTTAATCCAGGCTTGCTTTCAAATGTGCTCGGACCCAGAGGCGCAAGATGTTTTGGGTTTGTTGGGGGTGAAAGCAATAGAAAACATTTTAAATCACGTGACAATGGAAAATCCTCTCCACTCTCCAACTCTCCCTCAAACTCAACAACTATTTTCATAAATATGCACAATTTAATCAATAATATACTATATAACAAAAATAAATTGTGAAAACCTTTTTTTTTGTGGTTTTCTATGGGTGCTGAATAGCCTAGTTACGTCCCTGGCGATGAAATCACTTGATTCATTAGATAAGTGAAAAAACTTGAAACAACTGTTACAACATAACTTAAAAAATTCTAAAACAACTTTATTACATTTAATTACATTACTCATTACATTTAATAAAGTGACAGTGACGCACTACAAGCTCTGTAATCATCTTCCCAAATGAGTTTCATATTATATTTTTTTGCCACACTACCAACTACACACAGCTAAACACAGCATGTTAAAAACAACCCATTTAAAGACAAAAATATTAAATATACAATTTACCAAACAGAATTGTCAACTATTTTTAAAGAGTATGTTTCCAATATTTAATTTGTGAAAGTGCATTTGGCCTGGTCAAACCTGAAAAATATTTATAGTGTAGCTTCGTTGAAAGCCTACTAAGAAACTCATACAGTTGAACCTCGATAGGAAGACCCTCGAAAACAAGTCATCGTTGATAACAAGTGTAATTTTCAAATCCCCTTGAATTTATTTTACCCCAAATCACATGTTATTGCAAACCTCAATAAGGAGTCAACCTTGATAACAAGTATTATTTAATAATCCCCATGAGAGTCTTGTTATCAAGGTTCTACTGTATTATAGCTTTTTGAAAAAGTGTCATGTTCACGTGAGAACAATCCTTAAATTGACCCTTACTCCAGCTGACTTTACTGGTGCCTTACTATGAAAGATGACTTTCTGGTATGAAAAAACTACAGAAACCAATTGATTAATTTTTAGTATAGCGAAAAGTGATTAGTGTGCTAATAGCTAAAAGTACCTAACCTTTTAATGTCCTTACTATTTATGTGTATATTTTCATACCCAATACTATGGTTTTGTCAACATTGGCAAGCCTGGGAAGACATTCAAAATGGTGATGGACACGGCTTGGGCCTACACCTGGGTTCAGTCCGTGGAATGCCCCCTCGTCAGCATAGCTTGTGGTATTGTGCTTTACTGTCTTGGTTTCGCTGGTCTTTGGTTTATGTGGCCGATTGGAAGCCAATATTAAAACGTGTTTCCCATATGGCTTAAAAGACATGAAGTATTATACACTAGTCTCCACAAGTTCACTCATTCAATTCAAAGAATCTTTATTTGTTTGTAACATCGAATACACATAAATAGTGCCAAATACAGGCATTGAAAAATGATAAACAAAGGTATCTTAGAATTAAAAATGTAAAAACTAACATTACTTCTTATAACTCATCACAAGAATAAATAGCTTTTTTGATGAAGTATTGCTTCAATTTAATCTTGAATTTTTATTTGATGCCTTATCTGTAATGCTTTTTGAAATTTTGTTATACAATTTTGAACCAGCATATTTAGGTTTCTTTTTGAAAAGTTCCAGAGCTTTTGAGAGCTTAATTATAAAGGAGACCTCGAAGAACAGTTTGGAATTCATTTTTGCCAATATCCTACTGATTTTAAAATAGGTAAATTAAATTTATGATACAGGTGATTTTTGATTAAGGTATAAATGTATTTTTCAGCCCGACATGAAAGATATGACCACAGTAGATCATCGACTTATAAACCTGATGGCACCAGCTTCAACATTTCCAACACTTATGTTGGATATCTTTCCAATGACTTGTTCTTGGTAAGTTTTATCCATTTTCAATAATCACTAATCTTTTTTTATACACTTGATTTAACAAAAATATTATTTGTAGTTAATAGTGCTTTTTTTCAGGGGACTTATAGTAGTAGTGTGTTAACGACACGAGTAGAAAATTTAAGGTGCCAGCCTTGGCGAGTGCATTAAAACCTTCTACAAGTGTCGTTAACACTATTTACGCAAGTTGCATACATTACTTTACCTACGACAGTGTTTTAATTATAAATCACTACTCATTACTTCTAAGAGAGGTTATGTTTTTGTTTAAACCTCTCATTGCCACTGTCAGTGATGCAACCAAACATTGTACCAAACACTAATTGCAGCACTCAACAATTAAATTGGCCTAAACAGCTGATTAGTTGAAGTTCGAATCATTACAATTTTACTTCTTCTCTCTCAATCCTTGAACCTCATTGGTCCGTGTTACTCTGTTGTTTTGACTCTTAATAGTTCAAACAAATTAAAGCAGTAAAACCATATGTAACATCATATACGTTGGGCACAACCATTCAGAACATTCATCAAAGTACGGTACGCAAGAAATTTCAGATTGGTTAGGTAAGTAGGAATTAGTACAAGCAGTCTAGGATATTACCAAAAATAATAAACACTCGGTTTCAAAAATATACTATATTTGCCATTGGAGTTGGCTGCAGCACATGAAGCGGGAGTGGTTACACCATAGTGTATAAATGCTCCCATCAGACTGAATGTATTTACAAACCGCTTAAAAATATGTGAAAAGTTTAAATAATGTGAAAATCAGCCCCAAGCTTGAGTTATAAGTTGTTAAAAAAGTTTCCTGTACATTTTCTCACTATGTTTTTGTTGATGAAATTGTAACATACCTTTGCTCCCCAGGTTGGCCAGATGAATACCACAGATCAGAAGTTTGCAGAACTCAAACATTTGCCATGGATAAACGCTCTGTATGAACCAGACGGAGACCTAGGGCTAGGCTTAGAAAAACTGTCCCCCGGTGTCACTCCTTTGTTCTACAACATCTACAGACAGAACAAAATTGCTCCAATATTTTCTTTCTACATTAACAGGTATGTTTTCAGTTCACTTTTTTCTGTATAATTTATTGACAATTAGCTATTGATCAATGTGTTACTTTACCTATAGTACAAGACAGTTATCCAAAAAAAGACCCTAACCTAGAACAAATTAGTTCAAGGATAAACTCTTCTGGAATGTGCTTGGGACACACTCTTAAATATTTCCCGAGAATTCCCAAAAAATGCCA